ATTTTCACAACTATTTATAAACATTATTTTGTGCATGATTTTTTTTTTCCGCATATCGCTTCGCTTTGGTTTGAATAATAGTTCCATTTTAATATTCTTATTTAAAAAAAAAAAAAACAAGACTGAGCATTTTTTTGTTTAGTTGTTTTTTTAGGCCATTGAACACCAAGTTCCTTCAACTGACAGACAGTCTTATTCATGAGAAGTCATAAAGAGCAGCCTATCAAAACATTTCCACTGGTTAACCACTGGTTCACCCACCTCCTGTTGCAAACCTCTGAGATTTGTCATGAGTCACTATGGTACATATTAGAGTGACATGCAAGAGGTATGCATGTGAACGAACCTTTTGAGGGTGCACTTTCTGCCAGGCAAGAGAAAGCAATGCATAATGAAAACTGGACAGCAGCAATCAAACAAAATACACAAAATTACTTCTATAATTTTTTTGTGCACTTCTGACTGGATGGACATTAAGCTGTGAAGAAACCCAAATAACTTTTGTGACAGAGAATGTGTCTTTTTCACACCCAGCTACCAGAACTAGACATTTACTACAGTGACTTATCAACTGATCTAAAAGTTTCCCTAGGCTACTATATTCAATGGCATGCAGATTGATACAATACAACTCTGTCTTTTTAACCACAGTAGCATCATCTTTAAAAAATCTATTGAAGACCAGACTGCCTCCGTACAGAGTCCATCAATATAAATACTTTCTCTCTACACAGATCAGACAGTTGCGAGGTCAAAAAACAGCCCCCAGCTCCATGGTCAGGGGTGGTGGTGGATGTACCAACTACCAGGATCTGTGCTTGCCCAGCCCTGCTTCCGCTGAAGGGGACTACGTCAGTTCAGATGAGGACCTGCTCCCTTGCCCACTGACCACCACCGCCTTGTACCCCAACTTGTCTGGCCCTTGCCACACATCTGCCCATCTTGACAGTGATGGCAGTACAGACAGTGAGCCAGAGGAGCGAGAGACACATCCAGACCCACAGCAGCTATACGGCAGCATGGTGTGTGCCGAGGCACTGAACAACTGAGACATGAAGAGGGTTTAATGGGTAGTCCACTTTTCCTTACCCTCATGAAACATAGGAGCTACACAGGATAATACTACTACAGTTAATTGTATTAATCTTTGAAACCCTCAGCTTGTCCAGTATTTTCCATTTACTTGATGCAGACAACATTGATCAGATTTGTTTACCTGTTGTCTTCATATTCTTTTTCCACCCAAATTCTCTGATCCAAGAGGTAATATAATGCCTCTCCTCTTGTTAGCATACTAGAAACTTTCCAATAAAATCATATAGTTTTGAACATGAATATTTGACATGGGTACAAAAAGTATTTAATTTTATTACGCAGTGGTTGCTGTTTACAGTTCCAGTTATAGCCCTGGAAATTAATCTGTGACTGTTTCAGGAGAGGAAAGATGGGTCCACAGACAAAAGAACCTCTCTTCTTGTATGTATAAACAGAGTAGACACTGTTGACACAAAATAAACTACCATGAGGTAACTTTCCTTTTCATGTCCCTAATAAGAAGACTCATCAGTATCACTGCCTTCAGAAAAAAATGATATCATCCATCTGTTTATGTTTTAGCCATATGGAGGATTATACTAAGTTTATTCAACAGATGGTAATTTCAAGAAGTTTTTGAGTGTTAAAATTATGTGTCTATCACAAGAAGGCTCTCATGAATCAGCATATTACCATATTGAATAACTGGGCTTTCATTTTAGATATTCCTGGTCATTAAAAGACTAGTACACCTTGTTAAATATTCACAATAATCCACAAAAAGGAAATTCTGAATATTGCCAAATCATTTGCTTTTATCTATATGTGTTTTATTTGTTTTGAATTTTTTTTTTTACATCTGTATTAAGTGTTGGGATGCAGTTATTCCAACAGAAGCCTAAATTTGTACCCTCCTTTCTGCCAACAAAGTTTTCTGTGATGGGTTTACTGTGAGACTATTCAAAAGAAAAATGCTGCTATGATATTTGTTTGTATTTATTTTAATTTTATTTATGTATTTGTTTTTTCATCTCTTTTGTACAGGAAAGATATGTAACTTCCAGATAACTCAGAAATCGTAAATATTGGTTAATATTTTGCAAACCGATTGAGAGATTAAGTATCTGTTTGAACGTCATTGAAGCTTTATGAAATTTACCAAATGATGGTAATAACCTTTTGAGACCCCACTCTGATGAAGTTTAAAAGAAAAAGCAATGGTTTTGGCAAAAGCTTACTTTCTTACTAAGTTTCTTGAGTTTGTTCTGATTTAGCAAACCTATGAAATTAGGACATTGACACAACTGAAAGCTCGGAGATAGTTAGCTTAGCAGGCAATGTTTGTGCACAGTTTTCTTTATTGCATGAAACCATGAAACCCTCCATGAAAATCTGGTTTGTTTCCTTAATTTTCTTGAAGCAAAAGCACACCTGTTTTGCTAATCTAAGGACATATTATATATAAATATATGTGAATGTTGATACACCTTTTTAACATTACGTTAACAAGTTTCAATGTTAATGAACATTACACCGTTATGTTTAAAATATTTACCTATATTTGCCAACATAACTAACACAATTTAATGTCACTGTTGTTAGAGCAAGTTGCCAAAGCTGTAGATACTGGTAGAACTTTTTCAAGGGAACTTCTGATTGAAAGAGGGAGAATTTAGTAATTCTTCCATTGTATGTTTAGTTGCTTTGGGCTTTCTAGCCATTTCTCTCTATTCTCAGACAGGAATGGTAAGCTTTATGTTAAGCTAACCTACTTCTGGCATACTTCATTACTGTCCAAAACATAGAAATATTTATTTCTATGTAACTTAATCCATGAAACTTATCTGGAAACATAAGTTAATGTATCAGTGTCACTTCTTGGGTTGCAGTTTTGTAAGAAAACAAACAAAGCATTTCATTGAGAGTGTGCATTGCTGATAAATATTGTGCATATGATATATCCTGTTTGGAAAGAAAATGTTACATGTATGGATAAATATATGATACGCAGACTAAAAGGAGCAAAGGTATATAGATGATATTAAAATATATATCACTATCATTCAGATTTGACTGAGGATGGCACTAAGTTTGAATAGTATATTAAACAGGGAGTCATATGTACAAAATAGTCACCATTGCTTTTTGTGCTGTAGACAAAGATTAACTCTCCATTCAGGATTTCAAAGTGGAAGAGGAAGAGTGTGGGTATGGATTATTACTGGAATAAATTCTCTATGAACATTTTTTCACCACTAACCTTAGGAGTGAGCTTCAGACAGAAGCCGTATTCATGTGGGGGGGGGGGAAATCAAATTTTGGAAGAAAAATAACAGACAGACACCTGTACTTTTACAATACATCATTTTAAGTATTGTTTTTCTATTATAAACATAATCAAAAATATTATTTTTGTGCATTAAGAAGTGATTATACCAAGCACCATGCCTTCTCCTTTAAAAAAAAAATATCTTCCAGTAAAGGCTATCAGAATACTAAAGAGGATGTTGGCTTGTCCACTGTTCTGTTGTAATTAACAGCTTTTTGGTGGTTACCTATGGATGTAGCAACTGAAATCTCTTCTCTGGAATCTGTTTAAATATAAACGTAGATTCCATTAATAAATACTGAATGCTGTACATAGTAGTTCCATCTGATTGACAGTCATTTCAACTGTCGTCAGCTCTGTTGATTATTATATTTATTATTTGAGTACATTTTTTGAGTAAAAGAAAATCTGTAATATACAGATGTTACTGTTGCGCCTGCTTTTTCAAAGTTTATTAACGACAGTTTACTGGAATTTAAAAAAAAAATCTCACATTAAAAACAGCACATTGAAGTAAGACTTGACATGTCAGGGGTCAAATTTTAAACATTTACATTAAAACAAGTTTTAATTTCAAAATTGCAAACATTCTACTCTTCCTTTTGGCAGCTAACAGAGAAATGAATCTATTTGTTAACAGTGATTTTCCCATAGTAAACAGAATTGAAGATTGATTTACTATTATTTTTCTATGAGTATTCTTGACATTTTTTATGAATTTGCACTACTTATATGGAAACATTCCCACTGTTTTCTCTTCCTTTTCAAAACATTAGTGGGTGATTCTTCTTATTCTCTATGATTTGTTTCAGTTGTATGGTTAAGATATACCCTAGTAGACCCTCTTTTGCATTTTTTGCAATTAAGCTTCCTAAAGCTACATAGTAAAAAACTGACATGCCAATTGTTACAGACAGAAACTGTTAAGTCTTCTGCACTTAATCATTAATTACAAAAGTCAGGCTTAATAAATCTGTTCAGTGATGGTCCTTTATTCTTATCACTGGCTAAGCAAACTCTATTTTCTGTGATAGATCATTTTGGTTTGTTTGGAAATAAAATTTCCCAAAACCAAACAAAAGATTATTAAAAATCTTCATATTGTGCCATAACAGTCAAGAGATTTACAGGGTATGATTTATTATTTGTCACTGATATACAAGTAGAGTTTTGCAGTATATGAAATATGGTTTATGCTGTGTAATTCCATACTAATTTAATTTTTAGACTGGAACCCATAATCTGTTTACCCTTGTCTAAAGGCAGGAAGTAAAATGAAAGCATTTGTTTTTAGATGGTCTATGTTCTATCATTTGTATGTCATATGTGGTGGCTGTTTAATACCTACAGCTTTGTGGTCAAAAATCACGTGCACCCTCTCCTTCGCTCTTGCTGTTCAACTGATGTAGTGAGATATATCACATAACAGTAAACATTATTTAGATTAAGTATAATGTGGGGCTAAACATTTCAGTGTTCTATATCCTATGAATGATCCAAAATAAACTTTGACATTGCACCTCTTAGAAGCCTGATTTTGTTAATGTTATCTCTCAGTTGATGAAGAAAGTACATACTTAACTGGACTCAGCCACGTTAAATAGAAATAAGTAGATAAATGAGGACATTGTAGAAAATCAACCGAGATACAAAATACAGCAATTTACTGTAATCACCAAACTCTGTTTAAACAGTAACATACTGTAAGTAAGAGTACTTACAAGGGACTTAATTGCTGCTTACCCTGCTGCCTCCATGTTACAGTAAATCTAGAAGATAATTTGTTAAATATCGAGTTGGAAACTTCCTGTTATGGCAAGGCAGTGATAAAAATAGCTCCAAGGCTATTTTTCTGGTTATGGTAGACAGACCTAAAATGTACACATTTTGGCAGTGTTCATCCTGTCAGCAAGATGGTCAACACCAAAGTGCCAAAAAGAGTACACCAAGGTCTACTCCAAAAACTGAAGCTAGTTCTGCGGCTACCGTGATCGAATATTTACCACTGGTTTGTGATATCCATTGTGAACTACAAACAAATCTAAAAGCATCCTGCAAACACAGTTGAAGATGAAAAAATGTCACCTGTAGTGAGCATATTCAGTGTTCGCGTTGTTTTTATTTTTATTTGGCACTGGAGACAGGAACATTTGTACCCACGCTCACAAAAATCACCTGGTTCTGAGAAGTACCCTCGAATTAGGCTTTGATAGAAACAGACCATAACTCGAGTCAGAAACCCCGCTTTCTGGCCACTTACTGTCAGTCTCATCCTTCATTAGAGAAATATTTTTACAAGTTGTTGAATGTTTGCCCACCTTTACCTCTCTCCCCCTTTTCTATTTTTACCCAATAGTGTTGTTGATTTTTCACCAGTAAACCATATTAGCCTTTTGTTGCACTTGTGCTTCTGAACTACTCATGTGTTTACCTACCCTGTGTTATTCAATCAAAAATATCAATATCATTTTATATCCATTTAAATATGTTTTCAGCAATTATAGGGATTCAGATTACTGTGTAGTCATTTACTATGATTTGGAACTTCTGATAGTTTGATGTTTTATTGGCATCATGATCATTCATTAGTGATTTTCTACTGAACTGAACTACGACCCACAGCATAGCAGAAACTGAAACCTTGGGAGGAATTGCACTCAGGTACTGCAGTATAAATTCGAAGTTACTCAGTTTGTCAAAATCAAAAAGGATGTGTGCTTTTCTAGTTTTCAGTTAATTCACCAGGAAGAAATCTGCTGTTGCATGACCCTGCTTCTTTGAAACCAACCCTCTGTGGTGTCGTTTGTAACAACTGTGTCAACAGAGTGTGTAGAAACCTTCTGAAGAATTTTCAGCACATTTGTTTAGCCACTTCCTCAATAATCAGATTCATCCTCTCTCCTCAGTTTAGTCTTAAGTTGATGTGCACCACAGCAACACATCTAGAATTTACTTGATTCAGAAAAGTAGAGATGGTAAGAAACTGAGCTGTTGGTAAGAATGTGTGAGTGCAGGTTTGAGCGTGAGGAAGCAGTGTGGTCTGCGTGTCATTTTAGATGAGTTGAAACACTTCCTCATTTCTCTCTGTTCACATCACTCAAACCTACAAAGATCAGCCTGATATCATTCCCACTAAACACACAAACTTTGTGTTTGACTAGATATTAAGCTTTGTCTCAGTTAAATTTGTAGTAAAACGTTAATATGTGATTGGGGGAACTGGAATATGAAATTCGGTAAGTATTTCCACTTTTGTTTCAGTTTGAAGCTTTCATTGTCACATTAGCACTTTGGAAGGGGAAAGTAAAAATGTTGTGAAAGTATCTCAGATGAAGTCCTTTGAGTGCATTTTTCTATGCTATCATATGTAAAATGAGTTAGCTAATTACAGTATCTTCAAAGACTAAGTTTAATTATCTCAGTTTAATTATTTTTAGTCTAATTCTGAAAACAAAATACATCTATACTATGAAAGCTATTTATTTATCTAAATGCCTTGTTTTTAACTGACACCTGTTTGAAATATGTACTAAACAAAAGCTAGATTCTATTTCTAGTTTGGAACAAATAACTGGTCACGCAACTTCTATATGATAGCACACATCTCGCAGCAGCACTTAAGCAGAATTAAATATAGAGAAGTCTGAAAGGAAATAAATCAGTCATAAAATTCCTAGGTCTTCATGGCTCTCTTTGAAATAGCTGCACATGACAAGATGTATGCGCAAAATCCTGCTATATACTTCGAAAGCATACTATGTGAATTTCTTTATGTTTTGAATTAGAGAGGTGAGACTGTTCTCTCCCATCATAGCTGCAAACTTTACAGAAACTAAGGATTATGCAGAATAGGTAACTGTTAATTGGTGGGATTTACTATTCCTGGATAAATTCTAACCTTTAATTTTAAATGTAATTATTAGGCTTGTTGTTTTTTCCAAAGTCCATTCCTATGCCACATGTGGGTATATATATAAGATGAACATTAAGCAAAGAGCTCATCGGTTTTACGAAACAAGTTACAGCAAAAAATAGTTTGTCTCAAGAAATACAACATTTTACATTTAAAAATTTTTGTCGAACTGTGAGATTTTGAAATTTTGCTATAGATAGTCATGAATTCACGATCCATTTTGTCACATTCTAAAACTTTCAAAAGCTTTTTTCTTACATTTCTTACAACCCTGAATATATGAATATACATAGGAAAATAGAATATTTTTACATTTGTTTAGTATTCAATGTACATCATGATTTAAGAAACATTAGGTTGGTCAGGAAATATCTAACATTTTAGTCTTCCTTCCAAGTCTTTTTCATCTCTAATTTTGCTACGAAACACACCAGTCATGTCACTCTTTATAATGACATCCATAAAACATTTGTCTTCCCCACCAAATGCATGGTTCTTCACATCAATCAAGTGTGATCACTGACTCATGAAATGTGTTGCGCTTCAATCATTGTCATACTTCTGCAGTCTTGCTATGACTGCTTGTGACACAAGGTTTGTGGGAAATGTAAAGTGCAAAGTTCTATTTGAGCTGCTTTTAATGACATCATTAACACCAAAATATTCAATTTTCCCCTTTTTTTATTAGTTAGTTTTGGGTTGAACTGTCAATCAATACTCCAAGGGGAGAAAATTATGTGAACCTTTCTAATAATCCGGATCAACCTATTACTGATCAAACACAATGCACCCACAACATAATGTTTTTTTAACTTTTATTCTTTTTCTGTGTAGTGTACAAGTCAGGCAAATAATGAATATAGAAATAGATTTAAAATAGATATTATTAAAATATATACTTGGTGTTCAAATGGTGTTAAACCTTACATACAAAAGCAATAATTAATTCAGAATGAGGTGTAACTAAAAATACCAACTATTTTGTAATTTCTGATGCTGAAATTCCATGACTGCAATGCAGAATGTATAGATTAGTCATACTGATTGAAACAAGAAACATAAATGTAAGTTTTGCTAGTGTCTTTTGAATAGTCACTGTAACTTTTGTAACCCAAGTTTAATGCTTCCACTAACAGTGTATCAAAAGCCTTGATGTCACATATGCATAAACTGTGATTTGAACAAAACTTATAGTAACTTAAAGATACTTATTATCCCAAACATTGCTAAATCACAAACAACCACATTTTATCCTCTATTTTTACATCAGGTGTCTATCAGGTTTTCCACTACGCCCCCAATTATGCCTCGGTCTTTTTTGGTGAAGCGAGGAGGGCTACACCATCTTCGACCTGCAGCAAGACGTACCAGCCGTGGATCCCCTGCAGTAATTTTAAATCCACTGGAAAAAGAAGCAGGGTCTTGGTCTGCAGCCTTGAAGTCCACCATAGTAAAGAAACCAGATAATCCCTTTGCTCCCAACCACTCAGAGAGAAGTGAGCAATTCCATCCATTGAGTCCAAAATTGCATGGTGAGTAGCAGAAATATTTAATTTTATAGAAGTCAATAGAAGATATTTCAATATGATTTAAAAAACATTGTCAAAAGCAGCCCTTTTTTGTGTTCTGTGTAGGATCTAGGACTACTGAATTCTGTCAGTCAATAAACCCAGCAGAAAAATCTGGCTTTCACCCTCCAGGACTAGCTGTGTGGTCAAACTCTCATGTGAGCTCTGAATATACAGACAAAATGTCCTTTGGACAAGAAAACTTGACCCAGTCGCTCCATATTGTGAAAGAGACCAAAAGTGGTGGATGTCACAGAAATATCGCTCCAAAGCAAGACTGCCCACTATATAGCAATGTAAGGTATCCGTTTGCTATTTGTAATTTTAGCTTAACTGTTTCAATAAATAACAAGTTGCAGCAGTTAGACCATACAGAAGAATCTATCAACAGAATATGCAAAACAGGATGACACATTTCATCACATTTGAGGTTAATTAAAATGTAAATGGCTCATAGGTCTAACTTAATCATAGAGATCTTCACTTCTATTCCAACAGTTTTTATTCATTATGCTGAAGCTGGTTGCTATTCATCCACTTCTGTGTAGAAGTACCAAAGAAGAACATGCCTTTCATATCTGTGAAGATTCTCAGTCATCCAGGTCATGGTCAAGCTTGGAAAGTTAAATTAGGCAACTGGGCGTGAAGTTTTCTAGAAGATGTTTCACCTCTCATCCAAGTGGCTTCATCAGTTCTAACTGATGGTTGGGAGCATTGAGATTCATACGCTGTAACAGGTTGTTACACCTACAGTTGTTAACCTGGAAAAACCATCACTCAACAGAGGAGGTGGTCTTAGACACAACCTGTCACCTACTTACAGAGCACTTTTAGGAACAATACCTGGAAGATTCATGTCTTACCTGCCCTCACCTGATTCACATTTCAAAGACGCATGTGACCGAACCTATGAGAACCCCCTAATGACCATTATCATGGTCACTACCCCAGGTGACCTCTATGGCCCATCCAGTAGGAGGACTCAGAGCGACCTTTTATTGTGGTTTTTTTTTTCCCCATAATTCTTTTGTTACACCAACAGTACATTAATCTCAGTGCTCCCCACCATCAGTTAGAACTGATGAAGCCTTTTGGATGAAAGGCGAAACGTCTTCTAGAAAACTTTACGTCCAGTTGCCTCATTGAACTTTCCAAACTTGAACATGGCTTTCTTTCTGTGTAAAACCTTTGCATTTAAAAGTATTAACTCTGTTCTCAACATAGTAAATTAAGGTGCCTACTGTATTATGTATTCTCATTTTCAATGATTTTCCAGTTATTCTAAGAGATGGTCTCACAATCCCCAACTTGAACTACATTGATCTTTGTCAGCAGATACTTTCATCTTTATCAAGTTTAAAGACTCGCGTATGTAAGAATCATGAAAGCAGAGCAGGTCAATCAGCAGCAGAGTTCAAGCCAAATGGGAAAATAGATGATAGGTCACCATGCAGGGGCAAGGTCAGTATTGTTTTTGTGTTACAATTTGTATCATATATCAGTGAAATATGTACTCCTAAATTACCTTGAATCTTGAACAACCAGTTTACTTTCCTAACTCCATAATTATGTCTTATCTTAGGAGAGGACATTTGGCTGCATGGTGTGTGGTAAAGTGTTCAAACGCTCCTCTACTCTCTCAACCCATTTGCTCATACATTCTGACACACGGCCCTATCCCTGTCAGTACTGTGGCAAAAGGTTCCACCAAAAGTCTGACATGAAGAAACACACCTTCACACACACTGGTGGGTTTAAATTTACAATTGACTTTGACCAGAAACTATTAAAGATTATTTCCTTTTTAGTTCCAACACTTTGGCTTTGGGTAGCTGTGGGGATAGAGCGTTACATATGTCCTTGAGCAAGATACTAACACAAAATCTGCTGCAGTGTACTTCATAGCAGCACTGACTGTGCAAGCATGACATTGTGTTAGTGTTCCAATGGCTGCAAGAAAATTGTTGCAGAATTCATTGTTGTTGTATTTAATAGTTTGCTGTTTACGCCAAATTTACACTATCATCCCAACTACAAGTCATCATGCTAAATTTTTTTCAGTACACTTGTACGTTAACTGGAATCCTTTCAATATTTTTGTTTTCAGAAAATGAGATTTGGGATTTCTCCTGTTTGCATTTCAAAAGTTAAACTGATGATGTTCTTAACTTATTTATTTGCAACCGTTTTACAAAACTGCGCTCCACTTGAGGTCAAGGACTTACACAATCAACTTAACAGTCAATGTCAACAGCAGACATATTTGTTTAAGACTTTTACAACACAACAAAGTACTATAGTACTGCATAGGTTTTTATATGATGAAAGTGTTGAACAAAACTGACTAAAACAGTGTGATCTGACTAAGAACTTCAAATCAAATGACTGATTTATTCTAGGTTATAATCATTATAAACTATTGTTCTCATGTTTGCAACAGGTTAGCAGTTTATCATAGGGTAGACATTGAAGCATGTCAGACAAACATCTGTGCAGAGGGTGAATTTCAGAAATGTATTATTTCACTGGCTTTCAAATGCAGCATGACAAGTATTCATGTATCCTCAGATGTGTTACCTTCTCAAAACACAATATCCATTTCCTGAGCTGCTTTTAATAGTATATGCTCAGCATTTTGCAACTTGTTGTTAAAAAGTATTGATCAAAGATCTTTGAGGTGCAGTGCATTAAATACACTGCCTTTTAACTGAGCCAGATTAGCTGTTTCCCTTTTAATCTTCATGCTAAGATAAGATAACCTAAAAAAAAAACATTGTTGTAGAATAACCTTTAAACACATTTCAGTCATTTCATGTAACAATATTCAAGAGAGTGAATATAATGTATATTTTATTAGATATGTATAAACAGTTCCATTATCTCTTTATTTGAACCTCAAATACAAACACCAAAAAAATCAAACTTATAATCAAGTTATTTCAATCTAATATACATTTTGTAAAGTTTCTTTCCTCTTGTTACAAGCTTCCAGAATGTTACAATTTAATTTAAGGTTGAATGATTTTTTATGTCTAAGTGTAGCAAGTGTAAGTGTAGCATCTGACATAAGGTCTATCATTTTGCATAATGTGCCTTGTTTGTGTTCCAGGGGAGAAGCCTCATGTGTGTCAGATATGTGGAAAAGCATTCAGCCAGAGTTCCAATCTTATCACCCATTGCCGAAAACATGGTAATGACCGGCCCTACCGCTGCCATCTCTGCCGTTATAGCTTCCAGCACAAAGTGGACTTGCAGCAGCACCAGGAGCACCATTGCAGCTACCACTGACTCCTGCATAGACAATGAGTAGACAATGAATAAAATTAAACCTGCATTCCTGACCAACAAGAAACTTTCTCTGTTCTTTTTTTCTTCCCATTAATCAGTTAATTCTCTCAAGGTGTAATTGTCTCAAGCATACAATCACATGCGCATTTAGTTTTGATGGTCTGCTTTTTTTTTCTTTAGACAAAAATGAGATTTTACACTTTGAACTGAAGCAAAACACGTTTTCCCAAATGTCAGCACAAACACAGACATAGACATAGAGACATAGACTTCCTTTATTGTCATTGTCAAAAACACAAGGTGAATTAGACAACGAAATGTCAATTTCTTGGCTACTAGAGTAAAATTTTTAGCAACGAAATATCAATAAATATGTGTGTGTGTGTATGGGGGGGGGGTTATGTGGCGTTAAGTAGTCTGATGGCCGTTCTGCAGAAGATGCTGCGGAACCTTCTGCCGGACGCCAGGGGGGAAAACAGTCCATGGTTGGGGTGGGTGGGGTCGGAGAGTATCTGGCGAGCCCGGGAAAGGCAGCGCCTGTCCGCGATGTTCTGGATGCAGGGGAACGTCGCCCCCGTGATCTTCTCCCCTGTCCTCACCACCCTCTGAAGAGACGTCCAGTCAGAGGCTTTGCAGCTCCCAGACCAGATGGAGATGTAGCTGGTCAGCAGGCTCTCGATGGTCCCTCTGTAGAAGGTCTGAAGGATGGGGGGCGGGAGGGATGCTCTCTTCATCCGACGCAGGAAGTACATGCGCTGTTGGCCCTTCTTCACCAGTGAGGAGATGTGGACTGACCAGCTGAGGTTGTCAGTGATGTGCACTCCCAGAAACTTGGTGCTGCTTACGACCTCCACAGCTGAGTTGTTGATGAGGAGGGGTGTGTGGGTGGGTCTGGATTTCCTGAAGTCGACGATAATCTCCTTGGTCTTTTTGACGTTCAGGATCAGGTGGTTCACTCTGCACCAGTCCACCAGATGCCGCACCTCTTCCCTGTAGGCCGCCTCATTGTTGTCCCGGATGAGGCCCACTTCTGTGGTGTCGTCCGCGTACTTCAGGATGTGGTTGGAGCTGAGGCGTGGACGGCAGTCGTGGGTCATCAGGGTGAACAGCAGGGGGCTTAGGACACAGCCCTGGGGAGTGCCAGTGTTCAGGGTGATGACGTTGGAGGTGTTGTTCCCCACTCTGACAGCCTGGGTTCTGTCAGTGAGGAAGTCCAGCAGCCAGTTGCATAGGGGGGTGTTTATTCCTAAGGGCCCCAGTTTGCCTACCAGGTCCTGGGGGATGATCGTGTTGAATGCTGAGCTGAAATCCAGGAACTGCATCCGTACGTGGGTGTTCTTCTCCTCCAGGTGCTCCAGGCTCAGGTGGAGAGCAGTGGAGACTGCATCCTCCGCACTGCGCTTGGGCTGGTACGCAAACTGGAACGGATCGTGTGATGGGGGGAGCGTTGAGATAATGTGGTCCTTAACAAGTCTTTCGAAGCACTTCATGATGGAAGATGTGAGTGCGACGGGGCGGAAATCGTTAAGGCACGTGATGGTGGTTGTCTTTGGGACCGGAACAACAGTGGCAGACTTGAAGCACCGTGGTTTAATTTTTACACAACAATCAAGAGACTACAGAAAGTCACTTAGAGAAAATTATCTTAAATTAATCTTGAAGTTAACACTTATGGATTCATAAGGTGTACCTAGCACCAGGATTGTCTTTTGAGAAGTCCTGGTTGATTCCCAATCCTAATTTTCCTTGACCTTTTCACTTTTTCTTTTGAGGCAGAGAAAAATGGAAACAAACTGGATCTGTGTTTTATGTCAGAAGAATCCTAATCAGATTACTAAATTAAATCAGCAGGCCAAAAGACATGGAAGCAGTGGTAAACTTCCTCAGTCTGTCCTCTACACAAAAGTATGTCACAGTTAAAATTGTTCTTGCATTCCCTAATAATTCCATTTATTTAGCATCTCCAACGCTGAAAGAATAATGTGACGGAGGCAATTATCCCTTTTAGCCTCTTTATTTGTGATATGTACATGGCACTGAACATCATCTCTCATGATGCGAGATAGCCTCATGCAGGGAATAAATATAGCAGAATCTTATTTCACACACAAAAAAGGAAGGAAGTACTTTTTGGCACACTTAATGAGTTTGAATGTGATGAATCCTTATATGTCGCTGACCTGCGCCTCACAGTGGTGAAAACTAAACATTACTTATCAGTCAGCGCTGATGCACAAAAAACATCTAGAACCAAGATACACAACTTCTTAACACCATTACTTGTGCTCAGGTTGTATAAATCCATCCATCCATCCATCCATCCATTATCAATACCGCTTATTCCCTCATGGGGTCGCGGGGGAACTGGAGCCTATCCCAGTGGTCAACGGGCGAGAGGCAGGGTACACCCTGGACAGTCCGGTTGTATAAATCCAAACACAAATTACAAATTTGTAAACTACAATACAGTTTTGGAACTCTTTTAGAAAACCAGACATAATGTCTGTTAACGTCTTCAGTATTGGCTTAGAAAAAGTGTTGGTCATGATATCACCAACCATTTCTTCAGTAATGCAATACAGCAGAAATGCCTTTGCTTCATTTACAATGGATCTTACCAAATGAAACTTGATATTCACATGTTTTTAAAACCTGTCAACTTACAGGGTTTTTGGTTAAAGTAATTGCACCCTGGTGGCCCTTGTACACTACTGTCTGTGTGCATTTGTAACCATCAATACCTCCAATATCTGCTATGAATATATACACTCTTACATCGTAGAAGCCAGAGCCATACATTTTGCCTCACTGGTAGAAAGTGCTATTGAGGTTGTTTCTTAGTTATCCATTAATCTAAAGAACTGCTATTACTTAAACATACCATCCTGTAGTGCTGCATCTGTCCAGTCAACATTTCTATTAGCTAATAGACCAAATTTATCACTGCAGTTTTTCCTTGTAGTTCCTCTGAGGTACCTACAATCATACTTCACTGTAATTCATCGTTCATCCGTTGGTTCACACAAATATTGTGAAAACTTGCATACCAACTAACTTATGTCTGGATGTTTACATATGGTAAAATATATAAGGCTGCCTACTTTCTCTCTTTATATCTTTACATCTCTCATCTTAAGAACATCTTCTGTGTAGCATAATCTATTATCACAGGGATTTTCTCTAGGTTTACAGTCCTGCATATTGAACCCTATGTTCCTTGTGACATTTTTACACAGCAGTTAGATTTAATGAAATTGATACCAAGAAAATTCTTAAGTCTGTTCAAGACCTTATCTTAAATCTGGCTTACAGCATCTCCTTCACATCCTTCATTATTCATCCGTCATCAAGCCAGATGATCATAATAGTTTTCTAATGGTCTTTACCTTGGTATGAAAGCAGTGGTCTGCAGGGTTTTGTGCAAAATAATCTTCAGTTTAATAATCATGTAAAATCCTATTCTAGTTTCAGCCACATTGTTTTAGACCATACAGAGATTTTCCAGCTTGCACACCGGGGGCCTCATTTACAAAACATTGTGTAAAATCTACTAAAACTGGGACGTTCTGGCTCCGCCCACCGGCTCACTCACTCCCTGCAATCAGCGACATTGGTCGCACCTGTCCCGGTCAGTACTTATACTCCGCTCACTCACTCACCTGTACCAGAACGTCTCTAATCTTACGTGTGAGTACTTCCAGCATTATTATTCTGCCTGTTACGACCTGACTGACCCTGTTTTCCGAGCCTGCCTGTCCCTCGTCTGATTCTTCCGCCAGCCTGAGTTCTGCCTGGTCTGACTCAGTGCCCTGCCTGCCTGCCCGTGTCCCCGACCCAGCCTGCCCGACTCCGCGCTCCCGTCTGCTCCTCTGGACTGCTCCCCTGGCCTTGACCCTCGCTCGTTTCTGGACCACGTTTTGGATTACCCCCCTGAGTAGTTGCTGGACTCTGACCACACGGTGCCGACCTCGCCTGCCTGACCACGCCCACAGGAGATTCCCGATAATAAACCTGTTTGAACTGACCGTTTGCCTCAGGGTGTTTTTGGGTCCGCAGAACCGAACATCACGAAAACTACTGAAAGTGTACCTGTGCCAAAAAAGCTGAAAATGGCATGCGCCAAAATAACTAAACTAAACAGAATTATAAAACCATTTGCAATCATAACAGCACTCAATTTTTCCTTTATAAATCACAGCTGTGCCTCAACATTTGCATACAAGGTTCTGCTTCAGATCCCCCCCTCTACACCCCCATTCATTTTTCAACCATAAATGGTTAATGCAAAGCACCTGATCAATGTTATTTCATAGATACCAACAATAACCAAGGAGAAAAGAGGAAAGAAACACAATTTCCTCAAGGCAAAAATACGTAGACGTGTCGGTTAGTGAGGCCGAAAAAGTGGAAAAATATCTTGTTTTGCCATAAACAGACGTGTTGTGTGTGGCATCACATTTTTACATATATGTGTGCTGATTACATTTGGAAAACCAGATATAACTGCAAAAAGCCTTTTAATTGCCTTTTGTTGGCCTATTATTCTATAGTGTTGGGAAATCTGATGTATCAAGTGATCATATTAACAAAGCCATCCAGGCATGACTGCGCTTAATGCTGGCTTCAATATCCATCCATACATCCATTCATTTTCATAACTGCTTATTCCCTAACGAGGTTGCGGGGGGACTGCAGCCTAACCTTGTCAATGGGCGAGACGCAGGGTACATCCTGGACAGTCCGCTGCTCTGTATCGCAGGGCTAGCTACACAGAGACACACAAGGAGGATCAGCCATCCACAGTCACACTCACTTTTAAGGGCAATTTGGAATGTCCAATCAACCAAACATGCAGTTGTTTGGACGGTGGGAGGAAGCCAGAGACCCTGGAGAGAACCCACGCAGACACAGGGAGAACATGCAAACTCCACACAGAAAGGTCCTGCACTCGAACCCAGAATCCTCTTGCTGTGAGAGCGATGGGGCTGACCACCACACTACCGTGCCGCCCGGCTTCAATATCCCAGACAGATCATTTCACTGGATTATGTTGTTGCTAAAA